AACTAAGACCAAAAAAAGGCATCCCGTGCTATTCATCTCAGCTCTAGTTGACCAAAAGGTAATAGATAATAAAGTGCTCCTCCAAAGTTATAGATAATAAAGTGCTGCCTCCACCCTTTCTGAAAATATCAGAACATACTGCACAGCTTAAGTGAAAGGTGAAGAAGGCCTCTTAGATGCATACACCTTGACAAGTTCCTCCTTATTATTAGTTTCCTTTAATTTTCAAGAATGACAGATACCAAATCCAAGACCCATCTCATTGAAAGGAATGCTAAAGAAAGCCCCTCTCTNAAAAACTCCAAAATCTAGTGGGGCACGTGCCCTACTAGGCCCTACTGCAGGTCTGGCAGTGTATCTAGCTCTTCTCTGGTATGTACTAGATTTTATCTCATTTTTTTCCGCCATTTTTTTCCCTAATTCACGACCTCCCATTTACATTCACAACAGAGCCCAATCAAAGTTTCTCTGTCTCGCACCTCAACCTGCAATTCGATGACCAATGACCGATGCTCCGGCTGTCGTTGTGTTATGGTTGGAGCTCAACTTCAACCAAAACTACTGAACTTAATCAAAATCAACACCATCAATTGAAAGCAATAAGCTATGAATCAATAAACCAAGCTGTAAATCTATTAATTGAAATGAAATTACAATGCAATAGTGAAATATAAAGAGAAAGAGGGAGGGGAAATGCAGAAAATTAGAGAAGTGAGGAGAATTCAGATTAAGAGATGAAGATAGAGAGAAGCCGATAAGGAAAAGGGGAGATTCAGTTTTTTGCAACAATTTTCAACTGGCTTTTCATCCTCCCCATGTGCTGAATTTATAGAGTAATCATAGAATATTCTAGAATGCATTGGCTGTGGCGAGAGTCATGACATCCCTTCCCCTTAAATTAACCTTGTCCTCAAGGTTCAGAGTCAGGATATCTTCTTTGTACAAAGTTAGTAGCAGTTTCATTCTCTTCACCACTCTTGGATTAAGCTAGTGCAAGGTGACATATGCCTCATGAAACCCTGATAACTCATTCTTTTCTTCATCCACCTTGTTTTGAGCTTCACATTTTCTCTAATAAATCCGGATTCTCTATTGCCGGCAAAAGAATTCTTGGTAGAACGTTTTAAATGTTGAGCTCTTGATGAATGTCGTCTCAAAGCAAACAAAACTCCATCTCCCGTATTCTTAATTTCAGATCCAACAATAGAGGAATCCCATTGTTTTGACCGTTCTTCAAGCATTGTGATTGCGGCATTTGGATCCATTGGTTTCCAAGAACAACTAAGAAGAATCTCAATGCACTCATTTTCCACTCTATCGGGTATAACTAACTGAAATTTTGGTAACAAAATCCCTAAATGCTTCTTAAGAGTTCCAGGCGAAATCCTTACCTCCCCAACCTGAAGGTATTCAGCTTTCTGTTGCAGAAGCTGAGCAGCAGTCACACTCAACTCAATTTCCTTCCTACGTTCCTTAGTAGTATTAAATGTCATCTTAATCCCCTGTGTCTGTTCCAATTCTATTGGGTCCTCAAGGACCCTTGTTAAAAGCTTATTCTCTTCATTGCCCATATTTTTCATCCTAGATGAAATGGATACAATGTTCTTCTGCTGAAATAAAGACTGCCCAGATTTAATTTCATTACTTCCAACCCGAGGCAAGGATGATTCAATGCACATTGGCTGCAGTACGCCATTAAATTCAGAAACTGTTATCTCAACTTCACTCTTCCTTTCTTCAATAGTTGGCCAATTCTCCAATATTCTAAACTCCCCTTTGGGGGCTGATTTAGCCTCAATCATTTTAGTCAACATTGAAAACATCGGCTCATGATTCCTAGTAATTTCTTCCATTATTTGTTCCATCCTGTCTTGCTTAGTACATACCACTTTCAACTTTTCCTCCCATGATTTTGCAACCACACCCAGATTTGATAGTTTTCTGTCCTACATTTTCAGATGATCTTCATTTGAATTGCTCCTATTTTTAGCCATACCTAGATCACGTTGCTACTCTGATACCATTTGTTATGGTTGGAGCTCAACTTTAACCAAAACTACTGAACTTAATCAAAATCAACACCAACAATTGAAAGCAATCAGCTGGGAATCAATAACCCAAGCTGTAAATCTATTAATTGAAATGAAATTACAATGCAATAGTGAAATATAAAGAGAATGGGGGAGTGGAAATGCAGAAAATCAGAGAAGTAAGAAGAGAATTCAGATTAAGAGATGAAGATAAAGAGAAGCCGATAAGAGAAAGGGGAAATTCAGTTTTTTGCAAAAATTTTCAACTAGCTTTTCATCCTCCCCATGTGCTGAATTTATAGAGTAGTAATAGAATATTCTAGAATGCATTGGCTGTGGTGAGAGTCATGACACGTTGTATTTGATGCCAATCGTTGGCCTATATACCTTCTTCTCCGGTACGTAGCAGTTTATATCTCACTTATTTTTTGCCCAATTTTTTGGCCCTAAGATTGTTGCCCAATTTTATTTTTAAGATTTCGCCATTTTTAAGATTTCGCCCAATCTCTATCCCTTAAACCAGTTGTCAGTCATATTTCTAGGATTTTTATGATTATATTCCGTTATTGCAATAAATTAACTTTGTGAGAGAGGTGAACGAAACAATCAACAACTGAAGTTGAGGAGGCTAGAAAGGGGAATGATACTAGTTCCTAATTTTCTGAAGAAAATGAAAATTTAGTGAATTAGAGTGTAAACTTTGCAGAATTTCTTGTACACTTGTTACATATATTTGTGCATGAGCAGTGGGCTTGTGGCCTGGAATATGTTTGTTGTCACATGGGACTCAAGAAGTATATATCATTTTTAGTGTCCTTTTTATTTTGTAGATGTTCAATGTGATGTAGTGGTCAAAATAAGCGACTAGCTTGATTTTAAAACCGACTATGTAACAAGGGAAACAATC